GCTGATTGGCGATTTGCTGTTGTTGCCTTTTAAGGGCGTGGCAAGTAACCGCCCACCCCACTCTCACTCACGCGTTCCCTCGCGCACTCGCCGTCTCTCTCTTGTCGCTTTGCGTTAATTGAACCCGCACACACAGTTGGCCATGTAAGAGTCACATTAGTTGTGTAGTTTGTTTACCTGTCCATCAGTTGGTCTACCTGTTTGTTTGTTTGTTTGTCACGCAACTGTTGCACGTAGCACGTTGAAAGGCAGAAAGAAAAACCTGCATCAGCATTCGCTTGTGAGTCAGTGCGGCGCAGGCGCGTTTTGCTAGCGTTTCGCGCGCGTTTTTTGCATTCGCCTGTTGTTTGTTGTTATAGCCGCGCATAACAATTAATTTTCATATTAATTTTAATTTGCTTAGCTTCTAACCAAATGCGGTAATCGACCAGCTGCGCAGCCAAAGCATTTATGATTGACCATTCGTGTATGATGAGTTGCTCGTACTGCTCTACTCTATCCCCCACTCTCTCTTTCTCTCCTTCATCATAATGAAAATTGATTGAAGCAATTTCAATCAACGGCGATTTTTGCGCGCCAAACGTTTGGCTTTCAGTTGTTTTTTGTTTTGTTTGTTTAGATTTGTTGTTAGTTGATGGAAAATGCGGTTTTGATGTTTACGGCCTCAAATAGATGCGTGGTATTGCAATTAATTTGAAAATGCTTCGTGCAATAAACATTATATATCGGCGATGAAAAACCTGTAATGATTATAAACGCCCAGCCAGAAAATTAATCTATTTTGGCTTTGGGCCAACGAGATGATCAAGTTCTGGCCGCTCATCACTGAAGTTCAATGTGCAAAAAAGCCAAGGAAATACCACAAATCGGAATAGAATAAAAGAATAAAAAATTCGATCGAAATCAACTGGAAATAGATAGCAATAAACCAATTGTTGTTGTTGTGTTTGTCTTTCACATTAACAATATAAATAGTTATCGCTTAGTTGATGTCATCATTAGGCATTAAGCATGAATCAATTTCTAAACAAATAACTAATCTTTAGTCAATTGATAGCAGAGCTCGGCCAAGAGCTTAACACAAAACAATAATAAATGTTTGCATATAAATTCAGTTTAAGTTTTCTAGCTTCAATTTGCAATACATAATTAATTTTAATTCAAATAATGCTCGATGTGCATTTTATTATTGATTGGTACAACTCTTTATAGAAAGATAAATATGTATGAAAGCGGAGTTCTAGAAATTGTCGAGGCTTAAGCGAAGAGGTGCTGCATCTTAGCATAAGAAAAAATTATATGATATAAAATCAAAGTCTCTGGTATGGTTAGGGAATAGATAAATACAATTTAAACACAATTTAATACAATTTAATAATCAAATCAAAGTTTAGGCATGTGCTTTAAATATATAAAATATTTAAATATAAAATTAAGGTTCTGAAATTAAAACAAACTTGGATTTTATTTTCAAAATCTTAACTTTATAATTTATTCCAAGCCTATTAATAAGCCATTTGACTTGACTTATAAATCCAAGCAAAATATTTACTTACAACTTAATTACTTCGAGAAGTAATAGTTAGATTAGTGAATCTGTATTAATTTAGTTATATTTGATATACAACTTTGGTACTAAGACAAATTTTTATATGATAAAATGATCATAAATTAAAAATATAATCATATACAATTATAATAAAATAAAAATATATTCAAATAAAAGTAGAATTTAGCGCAGTTCACTTATGAAAATATTTAAAGCTTTCAATACTTTCAACTTGAGAAGCGCGCAAATATAAATGAAATATTAAGGGATTAATATTTTATAATATTTGATTGTAAAAATATAGGGAAATATGTGAATATATAAAGCTATAAGGTATATACTAATTTAAATATATATATGTATAAATATCTATAGATAGATATAATTAGATTAACATTTTACATAAAATTCTTGAATTTCAATTGAATTTATTACAACACAACTCTAGGCGCTAAAACTGCCCTAAGTTAATACAAAGTGCTATATATATATGTATATAAATTTATATATAAAATCAAGATCGACTAGAGCTTATGCAATCGCACAGATAACGTCGCAATACTTTAGAATTAATCTAAGAAATATACCTACTGAGGCTTATCTGTGATTGCTCTCAAGGAGACCAAATGTGTTCGTCAGCAATTAAGAATCGTTCAATTATAAACAGACTAGTCTGTTTATATATCCCATTTCCTAGATATATATATATATATATATGTGTCGGACTATATACATAATTTCAAAAATTGTGCTTACAACTAAAGCGATGCGTCGCCAATTCGCTTGAATTCTGACGTTGTTTGCCTGTGGATATATGTGCATATATAAATATATGTCTATGTATATATGTCTATGCATATATATATGTTAAATAAATCTAGTGTCTGCCATTATTTACTTATTGTGTGGTTTGCATTAGCGACCACGTGCATAACAACAACAACAGCAGCAAAAGAGGCAACTAAACCAACCACCCAACCACCCACCTGCTCACCCACTAAATGCAGTCAACAAAATGCCGTCGCATTTTGGCTAAGACTCGTGTGCATTTGCCCTGCTGCCAAGTAGAATTGTTTAAACTAAACTGATAAATGGCTGGAAAGCCAAACTGATATAGCGTATACGCAGCGTATACAGGGGAACAGGTGGGGGGGGGGGAGGTTGGTGGGGGGTGTGGGTGCAGCTCGTAGCGCCGTAATGTCAAATAGACAATAAACGTAGCAAATTGTATTTACTTACGACTTGCGTTGACTGCTCGTTAGGCTCAACTTGTTACGGGCAACGTTTGACAAATTGTTGCAGATACATCATTTCGATCGTGCCACAATGATAAAAGGAAAAAACAACCAAATACAGTCGCGCCGGCGTGAAATCATTGTCGATAAATCGATTACTCGATAAGGCGCGATAGAATTTTGCATGTCACTGAGTGCGGCAAGACAATCAGAGACAAAGATTGATGGCTATGCAACGTGCCGCAGCAACAGGCCAAAACACACAGAGATCGCACAAAGGCTGGCTTTGATTGATGCAGATTGTTGCAAGGAAAATGGAAAATGGAAAATGAAAAAAAAAACACACACACATTTTATAGTGTTGTCGTCTGCATGCATGCCACATGCAACTTGTCTTGCCTAATGCTCGTTTATAACTATGCCACGCCCACACGAGCTTTTGGCCTTAATCAACTTACCCCGGAATGTGAAAAGCGGCCTTCGGCGTTGCAAGTTGCTGCGGGTAGCTGCGGGGCACGCGTGCCACGTCCTAGCTTGCAGGCTCGGCTCAGCTCAGCTCGACTCGACTTGGCTCGGCTCGTTGACGTTGTCAGCAGTTAATTGAATTAGTTGTTAATTTATGGCAATGTTTTCACTGGGAATTTTGAGAATGTGCCTCGGCCCTCTAACAAAAGGCGGCAGCACTGGATGCTGCTGTTGCTCGGGGCATGCCTCTCACACACATACAGACACACACACGCAGTGACAGTGACACAGAGGCAAAGCTGCGCCGCGTTCTCAACTCCCAGCTCGAGGCTTGATTAAATGCCTGCCACTTAAATTGGCTTTTAAGCGGCACGCACTGCAACCGCTTGATAACAAATCAGCTCAAGTCTTTTCTTATTTTCATTTAGACTTTTCACAGAGAAAATGCCAGACTAACTGGAGTCCACTGGCTGGCACATTGTGCACGTATTTGATGCCATAAATAAATATAATTTTTATTTTCTATATATTTTTTTTAAATATTTTCTAACGTCTTTTCTTTCCAATTGATTTTCGAGATGCGCGCGCCGCTTGGAAAATTGTATTTTCCGCTTCGAACGTGTGAATTTCGCGGCAGTTGAACGACAACTGAAATCCGCATTTGCCACACACAAAAAAAAAGTGATTCGAAAGGCTACGCAACAATTGCGCCGGCCGGCTGTTGTAGCTGGCCAATTTCCAATTGGGTTGCATGTTTCGCTAACAGCTCCAAATTGAGTTTAACATTGCCAACATGAGTTTAACAGCGGAGAGGCGCGCGCTTCATTTGAATTTAACATTTATGGCAAGTTATATAGGGAAGTTAAGCAGGGAATTAAGTCAATTTTCTTTAGTTAGTTACTCTATGAGTTTAGTTATATACATAATTATATATAAATATATATAAGCTCAGTCAAAGTACCTTTGCTCTGATTTCTTAGCTGTCTGCTGATAAGCTTTTACTATGAAATATTTTTGAAGAGTTCAAACTATCAGTTTTTGGTGATTTATTTGCTGTCTGACGCAGTTCGTAAATCACAATCAATGTTGATTCTTTCTAATTGTTGTCTAATTAAAATGTGAATTAGAAACATTATCAATATACTTTTGCTAAAATTAAAAGGTTGCGCTATTAAAAGAATTGAGCGCGTGTAGTCATTATTATTTGTTGTAATTGTTATTATAATTATAAAACAACATTTGCTTTATAGCAGCTGCAAATTGATATGAGTTTCTGTTTGCTTCTTCTCAAGTGAATTTCTTGCTTTTAAACAGTGTGACAAACAATTTGAGATATTTTTATAAATTGTAGTTCTTTATCTCATTAGATAAGACTTTGTCAAGCTTCGATGGATGCGTCAATATATATATACGCGCAGTATCTATAATTGATAGCACTTAGATAGTGTCAAAACAAAGAAATTATCAACCCATTTGCCTCAACAAATCAGTTTTCAAGTGAGTGCTGTGAAAAACTTAATAAAAGTTTGACAAATTTCCACTTAAAGTATTTGTAAGCGACTGGAAAGGATATGCCACTGCCTTAGTTATAGTATTGGGTATATTATCTAATCAATAAATAACACTTGCATAGAAGTAGAAGAAGATATTTCAGTTACAATCTTCAGTTTTCATTCTGGGTTTCAGTTTCTCAGTTTTTAAAAGAGTTCAATAAAAATCATACGATTCAGTTGCAAAGGCTATTCAAAAACTTTATTTAGCGAATGCTCGCATCATGAAAAGCTTTTTAGGCCACGGTGTAGGTAAAGGCGAAACCTGCATCATTCGAGTCGTAGATTTCGTCGCTGTTGAAAAGCACCAGCAAAGGACCCGGGTTGTTGCCTAAGGGAAGGATAGAGATAGAGATAGAGTGAAAGCTTTTGAGAGCTTTGGCTAAGCTTACTGTTGATGACCACGTCGCCTTGTGTGGCGCCACAGAAGTAGGTGGCGCGTTCGTTTCTATCCACCAGCGTAGCCTGTGGCACCATCAAAAAGTCCGCGTTCGCAACGCTCGAGCTGCCGCTGCGATAACAGGAGCTGTCCGTCATCAAGGAGTTGGCGGAGGTCTCAGCGCCCACGTGGAAGTAGTACGAGCGAATGCTAGAGAAGAGAAAACAAAAATTAGATTCGAGTTTAAGAAATTCTTTAGGCAACTCACTTGAGTGAGGAGGTATCTTTAGTCCGTCTGAAGCAGATGGCATAGTTCATGTGCGATGGATAGACGCCATTGCCATCGTTGTAGTTGAAGGACTTGACCACGCCCTTCGCCTCGGGGAAGTACTGCAAGCAGCCGGGTGGCGCCACTAGAAAGCCATCCTTAAAGGAACTGCTGCGCATCTCTGGCTGCTGCACATCCAGCGGGGCTAGCTCACGCACTGAAGCGCCAGCTGGACATTCGAGCTGTGTGACCACCATATTCCATTCGGGAGTGGGCAAGGATACGCCGCCAGCACGATTCGCCAGCGAAATGAGCAGATCGACACGGTTAACACCTGCCGAGGCGTTGAAGGGCACATAGATATGCTGCCAGACCTCCGTGCCACACAGACGCAGTCCGTTCACCTCGAAGTAGTCCTGAGTGCACTCGGCGGTCCTAAGGCCCGTCTGCGGCTGCTGCTGCAGCGTTGGCTGAGCGAGCAGCATGGCGAAATCAATGCGCAGTTGGCAAACGTATTTGCTGTACGCATTGATGTGATATTCGCATTCGCGTGGCGGATTCGATGGATTCACCAGCTTAATGTCCTTGGACGAGGTACTGCCACCGCAGCCCGGCGTGGCCACAGATGCCGCTAGCACACGACCCGCCAGCAGCGCAGACAGACACACAATTGCAACGTAGCTCTTCATTTCCAGTTTTGACATCTCCAGCACTGCCTGTGCGGCCTTTTATGGCTGAGTGTGAAACTAATTAGCATTGTCGCGGCGCCTCGATAAGAAATCTCTACAAACTTGGGGGTCTATCGCGCGAATTCTGCATATGTTCAATGTGGCAAACATTTTTCAATTAGAATTGCTGTAGTCGTGCCAGATGACAAGATATCGGCTCTATAAATAAACTCTGTCTAGTAGAAAAGCAGCGATAACGATCAACTATATTGTTAATTTGGCCTTAAATGTGCATTGTATGGAGAGCATTTTGAGGGCTTAAATAGTAAACAAATATTTAAGGATTGAGAACAGAAGAAAGCAAACAGAAGATGAACATGAACAGCTTTAGCTTCTATTGTTTTTATATCCTGAACCCATTGGAAATGGGAATTGAGGGTATAATGGTTTAGTGATAATATATTTAATAAGCAGAACTTAGAGTGGCAGACCTCATGAAGTATATATATTCCTGATCAGCACGACTAGCTGAGTCGATTGAGCCACGCCTGTCTGTGCGTCTATTCCTATGTCCTATGTCTATTCCTATGTCCTTCCTATGAATGCATTAATTTCGTTAACCTTACAAACTGTAGACTTGAAATTAAAATTAAAGCCGATATCCATAGCATTTCCTTATTATCGATAAAAATCGATAATTTGGCTTCGTTTTTTAAGCGTATCTTGAATGCCGTAAATGTTGGAGACCTCAGCTTTACTATGTATGTTTCTATAATGAATACAGAGATTTTGTTTATTTTAGATTTTGGATAACTGCGTCCCTTCCTTCCCCGCAAATTCACCCTATTTCAAATACTAGACTTGTGCTTCGGTAAATCTAAATATATCTGGATGCCATAATTATGCCCTGAAAATTTCTTTAAGAAAGTCCATCAAGAAGCCAAGTTATTCAACAATTAAGTTCCCATAGTGAAGCCCATCTGCAGCCCAAGCGCAGCCGCTGCGTCAGCTGCGCAGTAGGCAGAGCGCGTGTGCAGGCGTGCGTATGTGTGTGTGTTGCTTGCAATGGTTGTGTAATGATTGGTATCGAGATATCTTTTAAAGCACTTTTACATGCTTATATTAAATTATGTTATATGAGAGCTAAAAATTATTTAGACTTGAGTTGAGCTAAAGGAATATTCTATGCATCTCGATTAGATTAGTCATCAAAGATAAGTTACGGCAACCATTTGTAGCCTAAGAGATTTCAAACAAACGTGAAGAGAAATAAGCAAAAGTGGCCAGAAAAAACGTCTCTACAGTGTACACTGTACAGTGGATAATGTATGCTAAAAGAAAGCAAACATTTGTTCAGTTAAATTTGATGACAAAACGAATTCCAGTTGAGCATACAGGAATTTCATTGATAGATAATCAAATCTTAAAGTCTCAATTTCGTTTATAGAGAATTAGTTATTCAAATCAACTTAAATTTAACATCTACAAAAAAAATTATTATTATTAGAAATTTTTACCACTTATTGATTGTCTATTTGGTACACAACAATTTTATAAATATTTTCCTGCAATTTAAAATATATTATAATATAATTTATAACAAAGCTGTCAACATTTTCCTTTTTTCTCCTAAATTCTAACTTTTGATCTAAAGAAAAATATTTTAAATTAAATTCACATTATTTGTTTTATAATAAAATAATATAAAATAATATAAATTCCCTTTTATTTAATTTATATTTTAAGTGCTATAATTTATATTCGGAAGTTTTCCAATTACTTTTCTTTTTAATAATTTTTCTCTTAGAATAATATTTAATTATAAATTTACAAAATTTTCTTTTTAATTTTAAATATTTAAAATATATTATATTTGCATAGTTTGTATATTTCTATCCATATTTTTTTTAGATAATATATAAAACAATTTAATTTAGTATATTTTGAATTTTCTCTTAAAGATTGACAAGTTTTGTTTCAATCTTAAATTGTCAAATGATTTCCAAAGTTCTACACGATTTTTGTTGTTAAATTTCTCACACTTTTGTTGCACTTGTCGCCGACAATCAGAGCAATTGATATTGTGCAATTTTTTATTGCTGATAAGGAATTGATTGATTGATAATTTCTTCTGTCATATTCACACACCAATTTATGGGCCGCATCACTTTTACCATTAGCCATTAGCCATTAGCGAAGTAGGTGGAATGTGTAGCAACTTTTCACTTTTTTGACATCATCGCAGGCACAATTCCAGCTGGAAATAGCCAGGGTAAACATAACCCAGTTAAAGTTTGTCGAGCAGTCGAGGTTCAATGACTGGCTGGACTTGGTTACATTTGAATATTCATATGCGCATGCGCATGCGTATGAGTGTGCTGGTTGATCGTTGCCGGACTTAAGATTTGGGGCCGCTCTTAGATTCTTCTTACCAAATATTGACACAAAGTGCTTCTAACACGAATATCACATCAGCGACGACGGCGACGGCAACGCCAGCGTCGCTGCTCGCGTCTGTTGGCGTCATATAAAAGCAGCTGCGCTGCCTACAAATATGTTCAGAGTAAATGTGAAAGTGTAGGTGGCAGCAACAACAACAACAACAATAACAACTGGCGAAGCAACCAATCATCGAACAGTTATTGATAAAGGATTATGCGAGCTTTGAGCTGGTTCTATTTGCTGGGCGTTTGCGCCTGCGCCGACGTCTATGCGCAGCAAGAGGTGGCAACGGCGGCAGCCCCAGTTGCAACAACAGAGAAAATATTCGTGAATCAAACCGAGGAGCAGCAGTTGGTTAGTGTGCCAGGTGTTTGGCGTCAGGCGCGGCGCCGTAACACGCTGGCGGATAGCTGCACCACGAACGGTGGTGCAACGGGCACTTGCCTCACGCGTTTCAAGTGCATGCGTCAAGGTGGCACTGTCAATGGCTATTGCGGCACCTACGGCGTCTGCTGCGAGAGTAAGTGTAGCAACTCTCCGTCTTTCTGTCTTTCTCTACTTCGGTTTCTTTCTGCTTGCAACAGCAAACATGGCGTGTGGCACAACGACGCGTCTAAAGCGCACCATCATTCGCAATCCGGCCGCATTTGTGAGCAACATTTGCCAGTATACCATTGAGGCATACAGCGCCAATGTGCAGCAGCTGCGCATCGACTTCGAACAGTTCGAGCTGCAACAGCCGACGTTTAGTGCCACAGACGACCGTTTGCTGGAGTGCCAGGATTACTTTGAGGCCGGCAGCTTTAAGCTGTGTGGCATGAATGCGGGTCAGCATTTGTATCTGCCATTCAATGTGGCCGCTGGCATTGATCAGATCACGCTGACCTTTTCGGTGCCGTCGCGTTGGCAGCAGAGCAATTGGCGTCTGATTGTCACGCAGCTGGAGGCGCCACAGGCGACCAATAAACGCAAGTCCAGCATGCTGGGTGGCTTCAGTGGCAGCGCGAACAGTTTGCAGGATCTGCGCAGCATCTTCGCCTCCCATCATGCTGACTACGAGCTGCTGGCGCCTGCTGGCTGTCAACAGTATTACACGGAGCTGTCGGGCACCATACGCAGCTTCAACTATCAGCCGACAATGGGCAGCGTCTATATGCCCGATACCAGTTATACCATTTGCATCAAGTCCACGCCCAGTGCCAGCATGATTGAGTGAGTGTCTGCTGTCCGTCTGTCTGCCTACCTCAGCCATTCCACTGCTACTTCCATACTTACAGATACAGCTTCAGCAAGCTGGCCATGTCGCAGCAGACTGGCGAGGGCGAGGGCTACGATGAGGCATGCCATGCCACGGTGCATACGCCGGGCAGACAGGAGGATTATCTACTGATACCGCAATCCTTGCTGGCCAGGAATACAGCTTATCAGCCGACCTACTACTGTGGCACCAACGAAAACTTCATGGTCTATGGTAAGTGTGTGGCATGCTTCGGACTGGCATTCTTGACCTGATGTTAATATCGGTTTTCATATTTACACATCGCACATGCAACGTCTCATCGCAGCATCGCCGCCCTACATGATTCACTTCTCCAGCGACGAGATGACCCTCGATGCCACCCAGGAGACGGGCTTCAGTCTGACTTATCGCCTACGTACATCAATTCTGTAAAGTGGCTGCCCGGTTAAGTGGGCCCTTAGATTAGGCAACATTTTAGCTATGTGCATAGAATTTAATAAACTAAAGTGAAAACGATTCTCGAACCCAGCTCGAACTCAACTCGATTTACTTGCCACACACACATTGCTGCTGATGCTGCTGCTGCAGTAAATTGCATTTCAGTTTGCCAACAATATGGGCAATATTTACCACAAAATGTTATGGTAATTGCTTATGTGTAGAGTTCTTCAGCTAAATAATGCGAGACAACAACAAATGGATGTTTCTGGCTAAGCTATTAGGGGAATTCCGGCTGAAGCTTTGATAAACTGTGAACCAACTTTGCAGCCAACAATTCTTCTGTGGACTTAAATATGGATAATCATAATGCTTTGAAGTGCATTAAATATCATCTGTTGGCATTGACATTTAGTCATCCCTTGCACAGATTACAATTTAGCTTTGTTCTTTTGTGCATTGCCAAAACAGAAATTTGTCAATTAACTGAACAGAAATGGAATGCCTTTCCACTCCATGTGCATAATGTTGTAATGTGCACATTGGGCATTGTGTCCTGGGGCAACATTAAAGTTAGTTAGTCTAAATAAAATATGCGAACAGTTGAAAGCGTTTTCAATTTGTAAGCAAGCTTGGTCAGTTTTTTGGTCTACAATTATTGAGTAAAATAATCAAAAATAACATTTATTATATTACAATTTCATTTGTTTATGTATTAAAATATTTGTTTTATAAATGCACAAATATAAAGAATATATTAAATTTGTATTTATATTATTTAAAATGATTTAATACACATTTTTATTTAATTTTTTCTAAATTTATTTTATTCATATTTATACTTCTATTTGTAGCTATAATATGCATACACATTATTTTATATAAATTCATGTATTTATATTAATATATTTATATATTATATATTATGATATATTTATTTATATATAAATATTTTTATATATTTACAGATTTAAAATTCCAAGTCTAATTCTGCAATCACATTAGGTGAGTGAATAAAAAGCTATATGAATGCGAATTGTTATGAGTGTCATTTGTTGCAAACACGAAGACATCAACATGTTGCCAAAAAGTTGCAAAAAAAAAGGGAAAAGAACAAGAAAAATAAATATGTTTAGCTGGGCATTAGAAATCAGAAGCTGAAGCTAAAGCTTTGAAACTTGTTGTGGTCAGTGACACGATTATCCTTTTAGCTCTGTAATTAGTGTGATTAAAGTTAAGCAGCTTGCCAGGTTGGGGGAGGGCAAAAGCGGAGGCCAGGGCATAGTTGTGGTACGCCATGGGACGCCCCCACACAACCAACACAAATATCCAAGCAAATATAGCTCTAAGAGTATGCGTGCGTGTGTGTGTGTACACATGAGCCATAAGCCAGAACGATAACAAATAGCCAAGTTCAGAGAGCTGTTTATTCAGTTACGCACTCACCCATTTTTCTACTGTTGCTGTTGTTGTTGGGTGTATGCGTATATGGATGCATAAAACGCACAATTGGCAGCATTAAGATGTTGCCCCACCCACAACTCTCTGGCCTTTCACTTTGACAAGGTGTTAGATTTTAGCTGCCTCGCTAATTGCCAGCACTGAGCCGAGCAGCTTCTTTCTTTCTCATCATCAGTTTCATTTTTTTTCTTTTTAAAACATTTCGTATCCATTTCTTTTCTTTCACCTGAATTTTTTCACACTTAACGGCGGTGGCAACGCCAGCTAACAGCATCTCAAGCATTTGTCAATATAATTGTGGAATATGTCAATCGAGCTACTCATCCAGCTATGCGTAGACACGTGTGTGACTGACTGCGCCGTGGAGACAGCCGTGGCTCTGATGGGGCAGATGCTTGAAGAACTTAGCAGCTAATCTAACAGTGATGATTGGTGGCCAGTGGAGTGCTACGGTGGCATATGCTAGATTTATTATGAATTCACAGCTTCACACCTGAGCCATGTAAACACGCTGAGTGGCCAGCCCACTACTGATACATTACTATATATATATATATATATGTGTGCCTGTATGGGTAGATATATGTATGCATATTCATGATGGCCGCCAATTTGTTTGCTGCAAATCTTGCGCAATAATTGTTGAATTTAAGCACCGGCTCAGCCACGCAAATGCAGCTCATAAATTAGGTGTCCAAACTAAACTGCAACAAGGTGCAAACAAGGTGCAACAGGGGCATAAAAAGCAAGTGAGAAAAACTCTGTGCGCCATAACGACGCTTGAATACCCTATAATATATTTAGCAAATAAGGTTAGTGCAGCTGGAAGTAATCTCTAGACAGAACTGATAGATGTTTGAATGTCCGTTAAGAAATGTGCTGTAAATGTAGCTCATAAACAACAGGAATCTGCGGGGTTTCATGAGGATGTTAAGAAGCTGTAAATAGCTATAAATCAAAAATTGTTTGCTAAAGGAAGTCTTAGATATAGAATGTTAATTAAAAGGGGTTCTTTAAATAATCCTATAACTAAATTGAAATAATTCAGACTTCTATAGAGTCCTAAGCCAAGAAGTGCCTATATATAAAGCTAGTTTTTCCTATATATAAGATGAGTTTTCTTGACATCAGTCTTCAATAATTTCTATGTCTCAGCCAAATAATATATTACTCTAATTCAGCTTCTCTTGGCATATTTATCAGCAGCTGCAAAGAGTTCATGCATATTCATTTTTATGGCAATAGGCTTCAAAATAAATGAGTTCACCTAGTAAATACATCTATCTATACACAAGCATACTTTAACCTGTCAAACTATACTTAGACTCTAGGCTGTAAACACTCCAAACGTTCAATATGCAGCACATTTCATGGCAAGCTTATAATATCCACGCTGTCAATAGCGCAGGGTATAACGTGAAAGGATTGTGGCAGGCAGGCAGGCAGGCATTTGGGTAGAAGGCTGGGCGGTAAGTCGTGTGCGACGCAGCTGCACGGCAAATAACGAAAATGCATTTTAAAACTGGCCAAAAGCAAACGAGCCAAAAAGGCGAAGGGCGACAGGCAACAACTTGCCAGTTCCCAGGCCACTCGTCGACTTCTCTTACATTCTCTCCTACACTGGCTGCCCCTCCTACTCCCTCTCGCCAGTGTCTCCGTCTCGCTTTCTGGCCCTGTGTATTTAAGTAATGATTTTGCAAAATATGCGCAAAAGTGCCAACAGCAACACCGCAATATGCTGCCCCTAAATGGACTGTAACCGGAAGTGCGAATAGCGTGCAGCTGGTCCATCCAGAGCTGGACAGGACATAGAGTGGACCCCGTTGCAGGCTAGCTGCCTAGCTGCTGGCTAGCTGACTGGCTGTTTAATATAGTGTGACCAAATATGCAGGCAGACGTTGCACACACTTTAAGCCAGCTTTAAGGCCTTAAGCGTTTTGGCTAATAAACACACGCACACATACAGAGCTATTGGTCACTGATCACAGGGTGACTCGATTCGAATTGGAGCAGAGACCCGTCTGGGTTTTGTGGGGCCAGCTCCGGCGGAAACGGATATTGTAACAAGCATGTAAGGCGACATGCTTGACTGCCCCAATGCCTACCCCACTTGGCAGCCGTCCTTCAGGGCCTATCATCGATTGCCTGTTGTTGTCTTATCAACACACGCGCTGAAAATGAAACGAAAATATTGCAAATGTCCGCTTGTCATAGGCTCCCCCTCTTAGCTGTTGTGTTTGCATGCCCGCGCCACGTCGTCCGCTCTTCTAAAAGACAAAAGCAATAAAATCGAAATACAATTGCACTCATATACATTTTTTTTGTGCTGTTTTGTTTTGTGCTTCGGGGAGCCAAGGGGCATGCATGGTGGCTCGATGTGGCATCCAGCGTGAGAATTTTACGATTGCTGCAAACTGAAAGCTGAAAACTGAAAACTGCAAACGGAGGCTCATATTCACGTGCTGCAAGCAAGCGAGTGTGCGAGTGTTTGTGCGTGTGTGTGTAACTGCTAGCTGTGCATTTTTGTTGATTTTCATGGCATATTTTACAGTGTATGTAAATACACACATACACACTTATATATAGAGAGAGAGAGAGGGGGGAGAGCAAGCGAGCGCGAGTGCAGGCAAGAAATAAAATTGAAATGAAATATGCAAACATGAAAAATATGCGCCAGCCCGAAATATGCTACGAAAAAATTGCCAACGCACACCCGCACGCACACACACATGCACTAAAAGGTATACACAGTTGCAGGCGGCCATTGCAAATACACACACACACACACTTACACACAAATAAACGCCCACTGGCTGCGATTTATTGCATTATCAATAAAGTGAATAAATTTTGAGGTTATTGTGGCGTGATAACGGCCATTTTTCGTTTTGTTGTGCCTGTGCCTGCGCCTCTGTGTGTGTGTGTGCATGAGTGTGCTTGTGCTGCTGTTGTTGTTGCGTGTCGTAATGCTGTGTAAATGGCGCTGTTAATTAAAAAATCGCACCCATGTCCGCTTGGCCATCTTGCTGCAGGCCTCCTGCCAACAACAATTAACTGATTAAGTGTTTAAGCCGCCTGGCTTTAAGTCCAGTTATCCACTTGACTTTACCCTGTGTGTGAGCAGGGGCATAGGCTGGAGCCTGGCGCAACAAACTGTTTATGTTATGGCATTAATATTAATACATTTAAGTTATAAGCCAGCTCTATATATGTGTAAGAGCTAAGTGTTCTGAAGCGTTGAAAGCTCGGTTAGTGCTAGTAAATGTTCTTAAGTGTTGGATATCTATAGCAGCTGAAGATATGGTAGACGCATTCTGAAACAGCTTGAGCCAACTAAGCTCATCTCTTACTTCATTGAAAGCGAAGCTCGAATAGCAAAGTTAAGTGTTGTAAAGCGTTTAAATTTTATAGTAAATATGTTTCAGCATTCGCACAGTATTTTATAGCAATGTATACTACGCTTACTACTTAGATAGACGTTAGATGTCAATTAAGGCAGATACTTCAAGCCCGCTTTGGTTCATATGCTCAAAATGCAAAAAGAAAAGAAGTTAAGTGTTGTAAAACGTTGAAGTTATAGTAAATCTAATGCTAATTGTAACGGATATTACAGAATTGCT